ACATGCTATTCAATGAAGAAAATAAGTGACCGTTACACTACTAAGCAAAATCAATAAATATTAACACGATATCACTCATCATGCTAAGGACAGGAAAATTATTTTATTAAACAGAAACGGATGATCAGTAAAGAAATATACGAAAAGGGGGCCATCATGTAAATATGAATATTCCTCTCTTCCACACAGAAATGCCCTTCAAACCTGAACTTCAACGCTGTGAAGGGGGCGTGCGACCACCCGAGGGACGCCCACTGCACGCCCTTCAAGACGTCCTGCGAGCTGACGAGCCCTTTCGTCCCAGGAGGCGTGACAGACGACCTCGTGACGTGTGACTGCGAAGGCCCCTGCATCAAGCCGCACCCGTACCGCTGCGATGCCTTCTACCACTGCGACGCTGTCAGTACCCACAATGTTTGGTCTCTTCTCTTACTTTGTCCGTACTGTCACTTGGTGACAACGAATACATTTGCCCAGAATCTGGATCTATTAGATACATAGGTTTCTTCCTCTCTTATCGTCTATCTGCTTCTCTTCTGACTTCTTTCTCTCTCTTTTTGTTAATAAGAGGGAATCTGGCTGAAAAGTAAAATGTAAATAAACAGATGACACATAACTGATCTAGTCGAAACCAGTAAGATTAACAGTTTATTATTTTAATGATTAGGGGACAGGTAGTCAAGCCAGGTTCAGATAAGGAAAAAAAATCATTCTAGAAAAATATATAATTTTGAGATATTCCTCTTGTTTAGACCGACAGCTAACATATCTACGAGTATTGTCCCTTTCTTTTCTTTTTTTTTTTTGAGGGGGGGGGGGGGCGTGTATAATAACAGTCAACTTCCTTGAAATACAAAATAGCTAAAGATATATATAGACGACGATTGAATAATCAGAAAGGAGGCGCATAATCAAATAAACAATGACGATTTTTTTTTAGCAATCCACAAGCGATCCTCCACGACCATAAGGTATCCGGGTTTTCCATTCGCAGGCGGGCGTGGAGCACCTTACGAAGTGTCCCGGAGACTTGATGTTCAACGCGATGGTTGAACAATGTGATCTGCCGGAGAACACCAAATGTGAACCGGCGCCCTCCTGTTCCTGTGACAACTGCCGGTACCCTTCGTCCGAAAAGTGCTCTGCTTACTGGCTGTGTGAGTTTCACTTTACTTTCTTTAAATTACCTAGTTGTTGGTTTTCTATTCTATGTCCGCTTTCTTTCAGTTGAGGAGCATTTCTCCAGAATAAAGAAAACGTTCTTCCCTTGCCACAATGGTTGCAGCATTGATTCTCCATTTCATTGAACTTCATTTTATCAGGACTATCAGTAGTATTTTTTCTTGCTTCGATTTTTAAATAATCACCGACATATACCTACTTTGACGTTGTTTATATATAAGATGGGAATGGTGGTGGAAAATTCAGATGCTTGCATTCAATTTTCCAATTACATTTAGATTTGTTACACTAAGTAGTTCTCTAAATATTGTCTGATTACTGCTGAAATCACTGCTAATGAGTGAAATATGAAGCTGCGTTTTCTTAGAGCATGCATTATCCAATATTGCCATTAATATTTGCCAGCCTTCTCTCACAGGATCTTTGCATCATATAATCAGTTTACTGTATTTTCACGTTCTTTCATCCTTCATATACAGTCATAATGTATATTTGGACCTGAGCCAAACGGCATATCAAAATTACAAAATTAGCACCCTGTAATAACACGTGACTGAACCTCCTGTGCCTTCCACCTATATATCTGATCATCCCCTTTGGAAGAACAGCAGCAGACGATTTTGGTACAAAAGATGAGTTTGTGTATAAGAATTGCACTGTTGGTGTTTCAGGTGAGGGTGGCCAAGCAGTTCAGCATTTCTGCAGTAACGGCCTTCTCTTCAACCGTGACACGTCACAGTGCGATCTGGCCATCAATGTAGACTGTAGCGAAGGGGCCTGGGAAGAAGGTGCTTTCCTGGAGACGGCCTGCGTTGACCGACGTTTGGACTGTCCAAAGTTTGTGAAGGATGGAGGGTGTCAGTGCAGTGGAAGTAACTGCGACTGGCAGTCGTTTGTTCTTAGGAACTGTCCAAAATCCTGTGGCAGCTGCAAAGTAAACAAAATGATTAGCAAGAGGACATTTGCCTTAGAAAAAGGACCTAAAAGAAAGCATCATGGTAGCAAAGAGTTTGGAAGCAAGGAATCCCAAAGCAAAGAGTCTGGAAGCAAAGAGTCTGGAAGCAAAGAATCCGGAAGCAAAGAGTCTGGAAGCAAAGGGCCTGGAAGCAAAGAATCCGGAAGCAAAGAGTCTGGAAGCAAAGGGCCTGGAAGCTGGAAGCAAAGAATCCGGAAGCAAAGTCTGGACACAAAAGCAAAGAGTCTGGAAACAAAGAATCCGGAAGCAAAGAGTCTGGAAGCAAAGGGCCTGGAAGCAAAGAATCCGGAAGCAAAGAGTCTGGACACAAAGGGCCTGGAAGCAAAGAGTCTGGAAGCAAAGAATCCGGAAGCAAGGAGTCTGGAAGCAAAGGGCCTGGAAGCAAAGAATCCGGAAGCAAAGAGTCTGGAAGCAAAGGGCCTGGAAGCAAAGAGTCTGGAAGCAAAGAATCCGGAAGCAAAGAGTCTGGAAGCAAAGGGCCTGGAAGCAAAGAGTCGGAAAGCAAAGAATCCGGAAGCAAAGAGTCTGGACACAAAGGGCTTGGAAGCAAAGAATCCGGAAGCAAAGAGTTTGGACACAAAGGGCCTGGAAGCAAAGAGTCTGGAAACAAAGAATCCGGAAGCAAAGAGTCTGTAAGCAAAGGGCCTGGAAGCAAAGAATCCGGAAGCAAAGAGTCTGGAAGCAAAGGGCCTGGAAGCAAAGAATCCGGTATCAAAGAGTCTGGAAGCAAAGAGTCTGGAGAGAAAGGGCCTGGAAGCAAAGAATCCGGAAGCAAAGAGTCTGGAGAGAAAGGACCTGGAAGCAAAGAGTCTGGAAGCCGGAAGCAAAGAGTCTGGACACAAAGGGCCTGGAAGCAAAGAGTCTGGAAACAAAGAATCCGGAAGCAAAGAGTCTGGAAGCAAAGGGCCTGGAAGCCTGGAAGCAAAGAGTCCTGAAGCAAAGAGTCTCGGAAGCAAAGAGTCTGGACACAAAGGGCCTGGAAGCAAAGAGTCTGGAAGCAAAGAATCCGGAAGCAAAGAGTCTGGACACAAAGGGCCTGGAAGTAAAGAGTCTGGAAGCAAAGAATCCGGAAGCAAAGAGTCTGGACACAAAGGGCCTGGAAGCAAAGAGTCTGGAAGCAAAGAATCCGGAAGCAAAGAGTCTGGAAGCAAAGGGCCTGGAAGCAAAGAATCCGGAAGCAAAGAGTCTGGACACAAAGGGCCTGGAAGCAAAGAGTCTGGAAGCAAAGAATCCGGAAGCAAAGGTCTGGAACAAAGGGCCTGGAAGCAAAGAAAGAAATCCGGAAGCAAAGAGTCTGGACACAAAGGGCCTGGAAGCAAAGAGTCTGGAAGCAGAGAATCCGGAAGCAAAGAGTCTGGAAGCAAAGGGCCTGGAAGCAAAGAGTCTGGAAGCAGAGAAACCGGAAGCGAAGAGTCTGGAAGCAAAGGGCCTGGAAGCAAAGAGTCTGGAAGCAAAGAATCCGGAAGCAAAGAGTCTGGAGAGAAAGGACCTGGAAGCAAAGAGTCCGGAAGCAAAGAATCTGGAAGCAAAGGGCCTGGAAGCAAAGAATCCGGAAGCAAAGAGTCTGGAAGCAAAGGGCCTGGAAGCAAAGAATCCGGAAGCAAAGAGTCTGGAAGCAAAGAGCCTGGAAGCAAAGAGTCTGGAAGCAAAGAATCCGGAAGCAAAGAGTCTGGAAGCAAAGGGCCTGGAAGCAAAGAATCTGGAAGCAAAGAATCTGGAAGCAAAGAATCTGGAAGCAAAGGGCCTGGAAGCAAAAAGCAAAGAGTCTGGAGAGAAAGGGCCTGGAAGCAAAGAATCCGGAAGCAAAGAGTCTGGAAGCAAAGAATCTGGAAGCAAAGAGTCTGGAGAGAAAGGACCTGGAAGCAAAGAGTCTGGAAGCAAAGAGTCTGGAAGCAAAGAATCCGGAAGCAAAAAGTCTGGAGAGAAAGGACCTGGAAGCAAAGAGTCTGGAAGCAAAGAGTCTGGAGAGAAAGGGCCTGGAAGCAAAGAATCCGGAAGCAAAGAGCTTGGAAGCAAAGAGTCTGGAGAGAAAGGGCCTGGAAGCAAAGAGCCTGGAAGCAAAGAATCCGGAAGCAAAGAGTCTGGAGAGAAAGGGCCTGGAAGCAAAGAATCCGGAAGCAAAGAGTCTCTGGAAGCAAAGAGTCCGGAAGCATAGAGTCTGGAGAGAAAGGGCCTGGAAGCAAAGAGTCTGGAAGCAAAGAGTCTGGAGAGAAAGGACCTGGAAGCAAAGAGTCCGGAAGCAAAGAATCCGGAAGCAAAGAGTCTGGAGAGAAAGGGCCTGGAAGCAAAGAGTCCGGAAGCAAAGAGTCTGGAGAGAAAGGGCCTGGAAGCAAAGAGTCTGGAAGCAAAGAATCCGGAAGCAAAGAGTCTGGAGAGAAAGGGCCTGGAAGCAAGAATCCGGAAGCAAAGAGTCTGAGAGAAAAAGCCTGGAAGCAAAGAATCCGGAAGCAAAGAGTCTCTGGAAGCAAAGAGGAAGCTAGTCCCTGGAAGCAAAGAGTCTGGAAGCAAAGAATCCGGAAGCAAAGAGTCTGGAGAGAAAGGGCCTGGAAACAAAGAGTCTGGAAGCAAAGAATCCGGAAGCAAAGAGTCTGGAGAGAAAGGGCCTGGAAGCAAAGAGTCCGGAAGCAGAGAATCCGGAAGTAAAGAGTCTGGAGAGAAAGGACCTGGAAGCAAAGAGTCCGGAAGCAAAGAATCCGGAAGCAAAGAGTCTGGAGAGAAAGGACCTGGAAGCAAAGAGTCTGGAAGCAAAGAATCCGGAAGCAAAAGTCTCCTGGAAGCAAAGAGTCTGGAGAGAAAGAAGCAAAGAGTCTGGAGGAAAGACCTGGAAGCAAAGAATCCGGAAGCAAAGAGTCTGGAGAGAAAGGACCTGGAAGCAAAGAGTCCGGAAGCAAAGAGTCTGGAGAGAAAGGACCTGAAGCAAGAGATCCGGAAGCAAAGAGTCTGGAGAGAAAGGACCTGGAAGCAAAGAGTCTGGAAGCAAAGAATCCGGAAGCAAAGAGTCTGGAGAGAAAGGACCTGGAAGCAAAGAGTCTGGAAGCAAAGAATCCGGAAGCAAAGGACCTGGAGAGAAAGGACCTGGAAGCAAAGAGTCTGGAGAGAAAGGACCTGAAAGCAAAGAGTCTGGAAGCAAAGAGTCTGGAGAGAAAGGGCCTGGAAGCAAAGAATCCGGAAGCAAAGAGTCTGGAGAGAAAGGACCTGGAAGCAAAGAGTCTGGAGAGAAAGGACCTCCGAAAGGGCCTGGAAGCAAAGAATCCGAAAGCAAAGAGTCTGGAAGCAAAGAGTCTGGAGAGAAAGGGCCTGGAAGCAAAGAATCCGGAAGCAAAGAGTCTGGAAGCAAAGAGTCTGGAGAGAAAGGGCTTGGAAGCAAAGAATCCGAAAGCAAAGAGTCTGGAAGCAAAGAATCCGGAAGCAAAGAGTCTGGAGAGAAAGGGCCTGGAAGCAAAGAGTCCGGAAGCAAAGACTCTGGAGAGAAAGGACCTGGAAGCAAAGAATCCGGAAGCAAAGAGTCTGGAGAGAAAGGGCCTGGAAGCAAAGAGTCTGGAAGCAAAGAGTCTGGAGAGAAAGGGCCTGGAAGCAAAGAATCCGGAAGCAAAGAGTCTGGAAGCAAAGAATCCGGAAGCAAAGAGTCTGGAGAGAAAGGACCTGGAAGCAAAGAATCCGAAAGCAAAGAGTCTGGAAGCAAAGAATCCGGAAGCAAAGAATCCGGAAGCAAAGAGTCTGGAGAGAAAGGGCCTGGAAGCAAAGAGTCCGGAAGCAAAGAGTCTGGAGAGAAAGGGCCTGGAAGCAAAGAATCCGAAAGCAAAGAGTCTGGAAGCAAAGAGTCTGGAGAGAAAGGGCCTGGAAGTAAAGAGTCCGGAAGCAAAGAGTCTGGAGAGAAAGGGCCTGGAAGCAAAGAATCCGAAAGCAAAGAGTCTGGAAGCAAAGAGTCTGGAGAGAAAGGGCCTGGAAGCAAAGAGTCCGGAAGCAAAGAGTCTGGAGAGAAAGGGCCTGGAAGCAAAGAATCCGGAAGTAAAGAGTCTGGAGAGAAAGGGCCTGGAAGCAAGAGTCCGGAAGCAAAGAGTCTGGAGAGAAAGGGCCTGGAAGCAAAGAATCCGGAAGCAAAGAGTCTGGAGAGAAAGGGCCTGGAAGCAAAGAGTCCGGAAGCAAAGACTCTGGAGAGAAAGGGCCTGGAAGCAAAGAATCCGGAAGCAAAGACTCTGGAAGCAAAGAGTCTGGAAGCAAAGAATCCGGAAGCAAAGAGTCTGGAAGCAAAGAGTCTGGAGAGAAAGGGCCTGGAAGCAAAGAGTCCGGAAGCAAAGAGTCTGGAGAGAAAGGGCCTGAAAGCAAAGAATCCGGAAGCAAAGAGTCTGGAGAGAAAGGGCCTGGAAGCAAAGAGTCCGGAAGCAAAGAGTCTGGAGAGAAAGGGCCTGGAAGCAAAGGAAAGCCTGGAAGCAAAGAATCCGGAAGCAAAGAGTCTGGAGAGAAAGGGCCTGGAAGCAAAGAGTCCGGAAGCAAAGACTCTGGAGAGAAAGGACCTGGAAGCAAAGAATCCGGAAGCAAAGAGTCTGGAGAGAAAGGGCCTGGAAGCAAAGAATCCGAAGCAAGAGAAGGGCCTGGAAGCAAAGAGTCCGGAAGCAAAGACTCTGGAGAGAAAGGGCCTGGAAGCAAAGAGTCCGGAAGCAAAGAGTCTGGAGAGAAAGGGCCTGGAAGCAGTCCGGAAGCAAAGAGTCTGGAGAGAAAGGCCTGGAAGCAAAGAGTCCGGAAGCAAAAGAGTCTGGAGAGAAAGGACCTGGAAGCAAAGAATCCGGAAGCAAAGAGTCTGGAGAGAAAGGGCCTGGAAGCAAAGAGTCCGGAAGCAAAGACTCTGGAGAGAAAGGACCTGGGAGCAAAGAGTCCGGAAGCAAAGAGTCTGGAGAGAAAGGACCTGGAAGCAAAGAATCCGGAAGCAAAGAGTCTGGAGAGAAAGGCCTGGAAGCAAAGAGTCCGGAAGCAAAGAGTCTGGAGAAAAGGGCCTGGAAGCAAAGAATCCGGAAGCAAGAGTCTGGAGAGAAAGGCTGGAAGCAAAGAGTCCGGAAGCAAAGAGTCTGGAGAGAAAGGACCTGGAAGCAAAGAGTCCGGAAGCAAAGAGTCTGGAGAGAAAGGACCTGGAAGCAAAGAATCCGGAAGCAAAGAGTCTGGAGAGAAAGGGCCTGAAGCAAAGAGTCCGAAGCAAAGAGTCTGCCAAAAGAGTCTGGAGAGAAAGGGCCTGGAAGCAAAGAGTCTGGAGAGAAAGGACCTGGAAGCAAAGAGTCCGGAAGCAAAGAGTCCAAAGAGTCTGGAAAAGAGTCTGGAGAGAAAGGACCTGGAAGCAAAGAGTCTGGAAGCAAAGAGTCTGGAGAGAAAGGACCTGGAAGCAAAGAAACCGGAAGCAAAGAGTCTGGAGAGAAAGGGCCTGGAAGCAAAGAATCCGGAAGCAAAGAGTCTGGAGAGAAAGGGCCTGGAAGCAAAGAATCCGGAAGCAAAGAGTCTGGAGAGAAAGGGCCTGGAAGCAAAGAATCCGGAAGCAAAGAGTCTGGAAGCAAAGAATCCGGAAGCAAAGAGTCTGTAAGCAAAGAATCCGGAAGCAAAGAGTCTGGAAGTAATGAGCCTGGAAGTAAAGAATCTGGAAGTGAAGAAAATTGGAGCAAAATATCCGGAAGCAAAGAATCTGGAAGCAAAGAGTCTGGAAGCAAAGAATCCGGAAGCAAAGAGTCTGGAAGCAAAGAATCCGGAAGCAAAGAGTCTGGAAGCAAAGGGCCTGGAAGCAAAGAATCCGGAAGCAAAGAATCCGGAAGCAAAGAGTCTGGAAGCAAAGAATCCGGAAGCAAAGAGTCTGGAAGCAAAGAATCCGGAAGCAAAGAAAGGAAGCAAAGAGTCTGGAAGCAAAGAATCCGGAAGCAAAGAGTCTGGAAGCAAAGAATCCGGAAGCAAAGAATCTGGAAGCAAAGAGTCTGGAAGCAAAGAATCCGGAAGCAAAGAGTCTGGAAGCAAAGAATCCCAAAGAATCCGAAAGAGCAAAAGAGTCTGGAAGCAAAGAATCCGAAGCAAAGGTCTGGAAGTAAAGAATCTGGAAGCAAAGAAGTCTGGGAAGTCGAAAGAATCGAAGGAAACGATGGAGACGAAGAAGACGAATGGAGACGAAGGAAACGGAGGAAAGGAAACGGAAGGAGAACGAAGGAACGAGGAGGAGACGAAGGAAACGGAGGAGGAGAACGAAGGAAACGGAGGAGGAGACGAAAGGAAACGGAGGAGGAGACGAGGAAAGGAGGAGACGAAGGAAACGAAGGAGAGGAGACGAAGGAAACGAAGGAGGAGACGAAGGAAATGGAGGAGACGAAGGAGGAAGACGAGGAGGAGACGAAGGAAACGGAGAGGAGACGAAGGAAACGGAGGAGGAGACGAAGGAAACGGAGGAGGAGACGAAGGAACGGAGGAAGAGGAAGACGAAAGGAAAAAAGAGGAGAAAAAGGAAGGAGGAAAACGAGGAAGGAGACGAAGGAAACGGAGATGGAGACGAAGGAAACGGAGGAGGAAACGAAGGTGGAGACGAAGGAAACGAAGGAAACGCGAGATGGAGACGAAGGAAAGGACGAGGAGGAGACGAAGAAAATGGAGAGAAAAAGAACGAAGGAAAACGGAGGTGAAGGAAAGGAAGGAAGACGAAGGAACGGAGAGGAAACGAGAGGAACGAAAGGGAGGAGGAGAACGAAGGAAACGAGGAGGAGGCGACGAAAGGAAACGAGGGAGACGAAGGAAAACGGAGGAGGAGACGAAGAACGGACGGAAGGAGAGAAGAGAAAACAGGAGGAAGGAAAGACGAAGGAAAAAGGAGGAGACGAAGGAAAGACGGAGAAAGGAGACGAAGGAAACGGAAGGAGAAGAAAACGGAGAGGAGAACGAAGGAAACGGAGGAGGAGACGAAGAAACGGAGGAGGAGACGAAGGAAATGGAGGAGACGAAGACATGGAGGTGGAGACGAAGGAAACGCAGGAGGAGACGAAGGAAACGGAGGAGGAGATAGTGGAGATGAAGGAAACGGAAGCAAAGAGCCTGAAAGCAAAGAATCCGGAAGCAAAGAGTCTGGAAGCAATGGGCCTGGAAGTAAAGAATCTGGAAGTGAAGAAAATTGGAGCAAAATGTCTGGAAGCAAAGAATCCGGAAGCAATGGGCCTGGAAGTAAGAGAAAACTGGAAGTGAAGAAAATTGGAGAAAATATCGGAAGAGCAAAGAATACGGAAGCAATGGGCCTGGAAGTAAAGAATCTGGAAGTGAAGAAAATTGAGAAAGCAAAAGTCTGGAAGCAAAGAATCCGGAAGCAATGGGCCTGAAGTAAGAACTGGAAGTGAAGAAAATTGGAGCAAAATTCTGGAAGCAAAATCCGGAGCAATGGGCCTGGAAGTAAAGAATCTGGAATCTGAATCCGAGCAATTGGTTCAAAATGTCTGGAAGCAAAGAATCCGGAAGCAAGAGTCTGGAAAGTAAAGAATCTGGAAGTGAAGAAAATTGGAGGAAAATGGTCTGGAAGCAAAGAATCCGGAAGCAAAGCCTGGAAGTAAAAGAATCTGGGAAGGAAGAAAATTGAGAGCAAATGTCTGAAGCAAAGAATCCGGAGCAAAATCTGGGAAATCTGGAAGTGAAGAAAATTGGAGCAAAATGTCTGGAAGCAAAGAATCCGGAAGCAAAGAGTCTGGAAGTAAAGAATCTGGAAGTGAAGAAAATTGGAGCAAAATGTCTGGAAGCAAAGAATCCGGAAGCAATGGGCCTGGAAGTAAAGAATCTGGAAGTGAAGAAAATTGGAGCAAAATGTCTGGAAGCAAAGAATCCGGAAGCAATGGGCCTGGAAGTAAAGAATCTGGAAGTGAAGAAAATTGTAGCAAAATGTCTGGAAGCAAAGAATCCGGAAGCAATGGGCCTGGAAGTAAAAGAATCTAAAGAATCTGAAAGTGAAGAAAATTGGAGCAAAGAGTCTGGAAGTAATGAATCTGATGGTTGCGTCATTGACTGCTCCCTCGGAAAGTATCTGCCACATCCAACTGACTGCCGCAAGTTCATCCAGTGTGCCCCGTATGGTCCCGAAGAGATGCCTTGTGCTCCTGGAACGGTCTGGAACCAACAGAAACTCACCTGTGATCACGAAATGGGCTTTCTCTTTGTGACAGGCAGCTACTGACTCCAGAAGTCTACCATGTGGAGGAGGTAGTGTGGAACGGAAGGTGGAACGGTTGGAGAACGGAAGTAAACGGAGGAGACGAAGGAAACGGAGGTGCGAGACGAAGGAAACGAGGTGGAGGACGATGTAACGGAGGTGGAGATAGTGGAGATGAAGGAAAGAGTGAAAACGGAAGTGGGGATAGTGGAAATGGCGAAGGAGGTGAGAACTGTCAGGATGAAGTGAGTGCCTGTAAATTCTGGGCTGCCAATAATGACTGCTACTGCAAGCCAACTGATGGAGATTGCTCATGGCAAACTTATGTTGCCAAGACATGTCCCAAGAGTTGTGGAACATGTAATGAAGGTGGAAATGGAGGTGGTGATGGAAGCATTGACGGTTGCGTCATTGACTGCCCTCGGAAGTAAATGCCACATCCAACTGACTGCGCAAGTTCATCCAGTGTGCCCCGTATGGTCCCGAAGAGATGCCTTGTGCTCCTGGAACGGTCTGGAACCAACAGAAACTCACCTGTGATCACGAATGGGCTTCTCCTTGTGTGACAGGCAGCTACTTGACTTCAGAAGGTCTACCATGTGGAGGAGGTAGTGTGGAAACGGAAGTGGAGGACGGTGGAGACGAAGGAAACGGAGGTGGAGACGGAGGAAACGGAGGTGGAGACGAAGGAAAACGGAGGTGGAGACGATGGTAGAGGTGGAGATAGTGAGATGAAGGAAAGAGTGAAAACGGAAGTGGGGATAGTGGGAATGGCGAAGGAGGTGAGAACTGTCAGGATGAAGTGAGTGCCTGTAAATTCTGGGCTGCCAATAATGACTGCTACTGCAAGCCAACTGATGGAGATTGCTCATGGCAAACTTATGTTGCCAAGACATGTCCCAAAAGTTGTGGAACATGTAATGAAGGTGGAAATGGAGGTGGTGATGGAGGCATTGACGGTTGCGTCATTGACTGCTCCCTCGGAAAGTATCTGCCACATCCAACTGACTGCCGCAAGTTCATCCAGTGTGCCCCGTATGGTCCCGAAGAGATGCCTTGTGCTCCTGGAACGGTCTGGAACCAACAGAAACTCACCTGTGATCACGAATGGGCTTCTCCTTGTGTGACAGGCAGCTACTTGACTCCAGAAGGTCTACCATGTGGAGGAGGTAGTGGTGGAAACGGAAGTGGAGACGGTGGAGACGAAGGAAACGGAGGTGGAGACGAAGGAAACAGAGGTGGAGACGAAGGAAACGGAGGTGGAGACGAAGGAAACGGAGACGAAACGGAGTGGAGACGAAGGAAACGGAGGTGGAGACGATGGTAACGGAGTGAGATAGTGAGGAAGGAAGAGTGAAAACGGAAGTGGGATAGTGGGAATGGCGAAGGAGGTGAGAACTGTCAGGATGAAGTGAGTGGCTGTAAATTCTGGGCTGCCAATAATGACTGCTACTGCAAGCCAACTGATGGAGATTGCTCATGGCAAACTTATGTTGCCAAGACATGTCCCAAGAGTTGTGGAACATGTAATGAAGGTGGAAATGGAGGTGGTGATGGAAGCATTGACGGTTGCGTCATTGACTGCTCCCTCGGAAAGTATCTGCCACATCCAACTGACTGCCGCAAGTTCATCCAGTGTGCCCCGTATGGTCCCGAAGAGATGCCTTGTGCTCCTGGAACGGTCTGGAACCAACAGAAACTCACCTGTGATCACGAATGGGCTTCTCCTTGTGTGACAGGCAGCTACTTGACTCCAGAAGGTCTACCATGTGGAGGAGGTAGTGGTGGAAACGGAAGTGGAGACGGTGGAGACAAAGGAAACGGAGGTGGAGACGAAGGAAACGGAGGTGGAGACGAAGGAAACGAGGAAACGGAGATGGAGACGAAGGAAACGGAGGTGGAGACGAAGGAAACGGAGGTGGAGACGATGGTAACGGAGGTGGAAATAGTGGAGATGAAGGAAAGAGTGAAAACGGAAGTGGGGATAGTGGAAATGGCGAAGGAGGTGAGAACTGTCAGGATGAAGTGAGTGCCTGTAAATTCTGGGCTGCCAATAATGACTGCTACTGCAAGCCAACTGATGGAGATTGCTCATGGCAAACTTATGTTGCCAAGACATGTCCCAAGAGTTGTGGAACATGTAATGAAGGTGGAAATGGAGGTGGTGATGGAAGCATTGACGGTTGCGTCATTGACTGCTCCCTCGGAAAGTATCTGCCACATCCAACTGACTGCCGCAAGTTCATCCAGTGTGCCCCGTATGGTCCCGAAGAGATGCCTTGTGCTCCTGGAACGGTCTGGAACCAACAGAAACTCACCTGTGATCACGAATGGGCTTCTCCTTGTGTGACAGGCAGCTACTTGACTTCAGAAGGTCTACCATGTGGAGGAGGTAGTGGTGGAAACGGAAGTGGAGACGGTGGAGACGAAGGAAACGGAGGTGGAGACGAAGGAAACGAGGTGGAGACGAAGGAAACGGAGGTGGAGACGAAGGAAACGGAGGTGGAGACGATGGTAACGGAGGTGGAGATAGTGGAGATGAAGGAAAGAGTGAAAACGGAAGTGGGGATAGTGGGAATGGCGAAGGAGGTGAGAACTGTCAGGATGAAGTGAGTGCCTGTAAATTCTGGGCTGCCAATAATGACTGCTACTGCAAGCCAACTGATGGAGATTGCTCATGGCAAACTTATGTTGCCAAGACATGTCCCAAGAGTTGTGGAACATGTAATGAAGGTGGAAATGGAGGTGGTGATGGAAGCATTGACGGTTGCGTCATTGACTGCTCCCTCGGAAAGTATCTGCCACATCCAACTGACTGCCGCAAGTTCATCCAGTGTGCCCCGTATGGTCCCGAAGAGATGCCTTGTGCTCCTGGAACGGTCTGGAACCAACAGAAACTCACCTGTGATCACGAATGGGCTTCTCCTTGTGTGACAGGCAGCTACTTGACTCCAGAAGGTCTACCATGTGGAGGAGGTAGTGGCGGAAATGGAAGTGAAGATGGAGACAGCGGAAGCGAAGGTGGTGGTGAAGGTGGAAATGGAGGTGGAGACGACGGAAACGGTGAAAACGGAGGTGGTGATGGAGGTGAAGATTGTCCACTGTCGTGTCCAGAAAAAGAAGGTCTTTTCCCTTATCCCCGGGATTGTAAGAAATGGATTCATTGTTCCGAAAACATACCTTTCGTCAAGAAGTGCCCCTCTCATCTTCATTTCAATCCTAATAACCGAGTATGTGACTGGCCATTTAGAGCCCAGTGTATTGCTGCTCCTGATGCTGACTGTCAGATTCCAGAACCTGTGCTTCCCACAGAGCCCCCTAATGTAAAACCTGACATTTGTGACTGTGAATGCTGCCTCAGACCTCATCCAGAGGATTGCACAGCCTACTATTACTGTGAGGTTAGTTCTTGGTATCTTCAAATGAAATATTTTTTTCAATGATATCTGTAGTTTCATATATGCTTTGTTATCACTACACTTCAGATTGTCTATTTGATATTCACTTTTTGAAATATTTCAACAGCCAAATGCAAGCGCCAAATTCCACACCTGCTCCGAAGGACTTGTGTTCAACCCAGAGTTCAGTCAATGTGTTCTTCAGGTAGATTACCCACAGTGTCAACCTGAGAAACCACCAACATGTGACCCTACGTGTCAATGTCTGTACCCTGCTCACAGCTGCTCAGAATATTACAAATGTAAGTAATACCACGAAATAATCATAGGAAAATAGGCATGCGTATGAAATATCCTCTTTTTAGTAAGTACCGGTTTTACACTTTTTTTCTACCAATTTTATCATATAACTATATTCTATGTAAATGATACAAAATCATACAATTTGATCATAATAAACCATTGAACATTTATAACTGTTCATAATCACATGATACTGGTACGTAGAGCCATATTTCAAATTTGAAATGGTCATGTTCATAAGTATCTATTCAATATTTCTGATTTTCAAGAACAGAATGTTCCAATATTTTATGCTGGCTACCTTTTCTTTCTCGATATTTTTACTCCTATGCAAATTTCAAAAATAAATCTTCTTGGATCTTTAGCAACCGTTAATTGCAGATTCTGAATAAATCTTTTCTTTACAGGTAATGGCGATGGCATTCCTGTTAAATATGAGTGTACAGGAGGGCTTTACTTCAACGACCAGAAACACACGTGTGACCTCCCTGAAAATGTTTCCTGTGAGGAGCGACGTAAAAGAAGTGAAATAGACCCTGTAACGGAACAACACTACATCTTACGTACGTTACTTCTTTGAAGCACCAAACGCATTATTGTGCCAGATAAAAAATAACTTATATTTCTCTCATCATCTTTACAAAACGAATCTAGCTTGCCTAATGATTTGCTCTTTTTTTTTTTTTTTTTTTTTTTTTGCAGCGGAGGAGTGTAAGGATCTGCAAGGAATGTATGCCATTAGAGACAGACCAAGTTCGTATTACCTTTGCGGTCACGGCGTAGCCTTTGAAATGCGGTGTCCAGATGGCGGCGTGTTCTCAAGCAAAGCCCAGACATGCATCTTAAGGAAGTAAATACTTGGACACACTAAAAAGAAACAAATGTATAAAGATACTGATAGGCTATAGTTATTTTCAAAACCTACATTTAAAAATGTGATTTTCTGATCCTTCCCCCTATATCTGCGAGTACTGATTGCAAATAAAATGAAAATTTAA